ACAATTCCATATTTACAACAGTTTAAAGATTTTTCTCCAGTATGAATTTTTTCATGCATAGTAAGAAATGAGATATACCTAAAGGCATTCTCACATTGATTATATTCATTGGGTTTCTCTCTAATGTGTATTTTCACATGTCTTTAAAATATAAGGGAAGACTAAAAGATTTTCCACATTCTTTACACTTCTGTCTCCCAGTATGAGTTCTCATTTGCTGACAGGAATAAGAAAGACTTGAAGGCTTTCCCACATTCTTGAGATTTATATGGTTTCTCTTCAGTATGTGTTCTCACATATGCACTCAAGCGTTAGGAATTATACTTTCCACATTTCTTACACTTATATGTTTTCTCTCCAATGTGAATTTTCACATGGCTTTGAAAAAAAACTAGATATAAGACTCTTCTACACTCCAAATATGAATAGAATTTATCTCCAGTATGAATTGTTATATGTTTCCTAAGGGATAATGAATAGCTAAAGGCATTTTATACATTCACAGTGTTTTTCTCCAATGTGCATTACATGTATGATAAAACCTGAAGAACAAAAGAAATATTTGTCACACTGTTTTACAATTATAGAACCTCTCCCCAGTGTCTGTATTCATGTGGTTATTAAAGGAGGAGGGGAAACTGCAGACTTTCCCATATTCCTTACATGCATAGAGCTCCTTTCTGATATGTTTTCTCACTTGTAAAGTAAGCTTTGAGGAATAAGGGAAGGTTTTCCCACACTCCTTCCATAAGGCTTCTTTCCAATGTGAGGTCTTAGATGTACAGTAAGACATGTGGAAGAAATAAAGGATTTCTCACATTCTTTTACATTCGTGGGGTATATTTTCAACATAATTTCTTACATGTGCTCTAAAGAATGAAGGACAATTGATTCTTCAACACTTTTTATATGCATATAATTTCCAGTGAGAATTTTTGCATTTTCTGAGGGATGAAAGCAAATGGAAGGCTTCTTCACATTTTTTACATTATATGAATATAAGTATTATCTCTACCATGAGTTCTTACATGTAAAGCAATAGATGAAGAATGAATAAAGGCTTTACTACATTTTGTATATTCATAATATTTTTCTCCATGTGAATTTTCATGAGTCCTAAGATACAAAGAACAGCTGAAGGGTTCTTTACATTCCTTACATTGATAAGGTTTGTGTCCAGTGTGTGGTCCCATATGTATCTTAATAAGTGCATAATTAATGAAAGTTTTTTTGCAGCCAATGAATCGATAGAATTTCTCTTCAGTATGAGTTCTCTTGTGCACAATTAAATTTGGAATCTGGCTGAAGGTTTTCCCACAATGATTATCCTCCTTGTATTTCTCTCCAGTATGGATTATCTTATACACAGTAGATATTAAGGTCTTTCTGAAATATTTTCCTATTTGATTATATTCATAGAGGTTCTCTACCATATGACTTCTTAAATCTCTACTGTGCCTTACTCTAATTTTTTGTGCCATGGATAAAGATTACAAAATAGGTAGGTTTTTTGTTTGTTTTTTACATTTTAGGTAAAGTAGTATAATACTAATTTAAGGTATATTGTGATAAGTAAAGGCTATATGTTTTTATCCTTAAGGGGAACATCCCCCAAAATGTTATAGTAAAAGTCAATTTGGATATAAAACGGAATACCAAAATGTACACAAGTAAGCGAAAAGAAGAGAAGAAATGAGAAACAAAAGAATGAAAGCAGTATGATTAAAAATGCAATAGACACAATTGTATGAATAATCATATTAAATATACATGAAATAAATTCTCCAATTAAAAGGCAGAAATTATCAAATTGAATAAAAAAAGCAAGATCAAACTCTATATAGTTTTAAAAAGGTGCACTTAAAAGATAGAGGATAAAAGTAAAAATATTTTAAAAAGAGATATCATATAAACCCTAAAGTGTAAGAAATATGGGTTACTATTAATATCAGATTGAAAGTATTATTAGAGACCAAAGGGATGTTTCATAATGATTAGTGTCAATTCATCAAGAAGATAAAATAATCCTATGTGCATATCAAATAAAAGAGCTTCAAATACATATGGTTCTTAAAAAATGCTAGAAATAAAAGGGGAAATAAAGAAAATCACAATCATAGTTGAAGAATTTAACATTTTCCTTTTAGTAGTTGATAGAACATACAGGAAAATGGTAAGAATAAAAAAGATTTAAACAACATTATCAAGCAACTTGGTTTAATTGATATTTATAGAACACTACAAGCATTCATTTCAAATTCACAAGAAAACTCACCAAGTTTAAACCCATATGTTAGATAACAAAAGCAAAACAGCAAAACTCAATAATTTCAAAGGACTTAAATCATATAGACTATGTTCTCAAACCCAAACAATTATTTTGGATATCAAAAATGATATCCCTGGATATTAGGAAAACTGAACAACACACTTCTAGTTAACCAATGGGTCAAAGAAGAAATCAACAGGGAAATTACATATACATTAAAACTGAATGGTAATAAAACCAAAATATTAAAATTCATGAAATGCAGCTTAAATAATACATAGGAAAAAATGGACAGTTTTAATTTATATTTTCATATATTTAATCTATATTAGAAAAGAGGGGCCCAGAGTCAACGATCTAAACTTTCAGAGAAACTACACAAAGAAAACTAAAACCAAACTAGGTATAAGAAAAGAAATAAAAACATAAGCATGGAAATCAAGGAAACAAAACAGAAATCAACAGGAAAATAACAAAGACAAAGAATGGTTTTCAAAATATATATATATATATTTTAAATATATCTTTATTGATTTCAGAGAGAGGAAAGGAGAGGGAGAGAGAGAGACAGAAACATCAATGATGAGAGAGTCACTGATCGGCTGCAGCCCGCAACCTGGGCATGTGCCCTGACCGGGAATCAAACCCCGATTGCCTGGATTCTAGGTCAACGCTCAACCGCTGAGCCACGCCCGGCCGGGCTCAAAAAATATTAATAAAATTGATATATACACTTGTAAAAATACTGATAAAGACAAAAGGAGAGAAAACATATTTTACCAATATCCAGAATGAAAGAGGGGCATAATATAAGTACATAGAAAAAATGATAAAGGAATATTATCAATAACTTCAAGCCAGTAACTATAACACTGTAGACAAAACAGGCAAATTACTTAAAAGACACAGGCAACCAACTACATAAAAGAAAATAGAAAATTGGAATTGCAGCATACCTAAACTGTTAAGTTTGCAATTCAAAATCTTCCTGCAAAAATGTTAGCCATAGCTGGCTTCTGTGATAAATTCTATCAAGTACATAAAGAATAAATATCTTAAACAAACTCATCAAAGAGAAAACGAGGAAACAACTGCCAACTCATTTTATGATTCCAGTATAGCCCTGAAACTAAACCTGAGAAGGGCATAACATGAAAAATTACATATCACAAATTATGTTTCACAAACATAAATACAAAAATTCTCAACAACGTAGTAGCAAGTTGAGTTTACCTAATATATAATATTTTTCACACTGATGCATGCCATCTGGAAGAAAAACATACAAACAATTTGCCTGGCCACAGTCCCACCTGTGCTCTTCCATTCCCAGTCTTCAGGACTCCAGCTCATCAGATCTGCTGGGTATCTTCATTCTTCCACTGTTGCTGCTGCTATCCCATATTAGAATGGAGAGGAACTTGATTCATATTTCACTGTTCAGATTCTAAATGTGACCACCATCACTACTGCTGTGCTGCTCATTTGAACTTGAAAGTTGGAAACCACCAACAGGACCAGGACTAGGGCAAGGTAAATGTCTCAGGAGCAAAATTAATGGGTAACCCAAAAACTTGATAGTAAAGACAGACACTATTTAATGCAGTATTCTAAAAAAAAAAAATCAAACTTAATTAAAAAAAAACACATGATGAACAGAATTTCAACATTTAATTAAAGACACCATCTAATCTTATACTTACACAACGTGGCCTCATCCTAATTCCAGCCCTGTCACACCCTGGTATCAACCTTATTGTTTCCTGATCTCACTGGGTGATAAAAGACCATGCCTATGTTATACTTCTCTCTCCTGGGCTGCTCCTTCAAGATCACAGGGGCTACCAAACTTCTAGATCAAATAATGCTGCATTGCTATGTTTACAAAAAGAAAACTCCTTTAGTTTGCAAATATGATCTCTGCTAGAATGTTACTAATGCCAATTTTATCACATATATTTATGCATTAAAGGAGCAAATGCCTTTACAATATGGGAAAGAAATGGAAAAGTAATATTACTCTGTTATATGTATCTGTGCATGCAGTTCATCTCTACCATCTATTAAAGCTACTCCCCTAGACATGCACACATATACACAAACACACACATAGACAAACACTCTGAGTGCAGCTATGAAGTTCAAAAATTGTTTGAGGTATTTATTACCATTCATACATAGTGATAGATTCTTATTGGTTTTTCATGGTTATGCTGATAAACTGAAAGTAATGCTCTTTTCAAGATATTCAGATCAGTCCGTGAAAGACATAAGTATTAATCCAATCAATACCTTTAATTCTACACTTTACCAATAAAGTATTTGTAAAGTAAGATAGGAAAGCAGTAGTGGATGCTGACACATTCTGGTCTCTGGGCCAGTTTCAAAACACGCATCTCCTTATCATGGAAATGTTGTTAGGAATTTCTCATCCTCTCACCAGGCATATTCTACCAAAACACAGATTGCTGATATGCTTATGAAGATTTTCAGGACTCATATTTAGTCAATTTGCTTTCTCAAGTAAAATTTTTGGTCCTCCTATTTTCCTGTCTGAGAGAGACCAGAGTTCTGGATTGCTGTATAAACATCGTAGTCATTTTGTAAGGATACCACTAATTCAGATTTAAATGTATAAGTGACATTTATCAGCTTACCTTCTTGTTTATTCCCCAAAACTCAATTGTTTGGGTTGCTACCGTCCAGGAATATTTCTTTGAAAGTTCAATTATCTGTATATGTTTGTATTAGCCAAATTGCATGAAGATCTGAACTCAGCCACAGTAACTCAGAGTACTGTCCTTGGATAATACCTAAAGGAAAGTAAAACCACTTTTCTGACAAGCATCTCAAACATCTTAAATAGACAACCTGAAACAGTCTGACAACTGCGTAAAACCACCTTACTCATGAGGAGGAGAGATGTGTCAGTTTGGAATGCATTTGTCTGTCATCAACAGAAAACTCAATTACAGTTGCTTAATCACAGAGGGGTTTATTTATATTATGCAGCCTGGGAGAAGGTAGTGTAGAGCTGTTGCAGCAGTTTAACAATGCTATAAAAATTCAGGGGCTTTCTACCAACAACCTCTTTACAATGATTTATATATTCTGTAAGGCAATATATGCTTTTCTCCACCATGCTCATTACTTTCTTCTGTGTCTTTGCTATCAGAGTTGTTAACATCCATATTTCAACTAACAGTCTGTTCCAAACAACCTAGGCTTTTTAAAAAATCATGCTCTTTAAAGTTCTTCCAGCCTCTGCCTATTTCCCAATTCCAAAGCAACTTCTATGTTTTTAGTTATTTGTTACAGCAGCACTCCACTTCCAGGTATCACCTCTGTATCAGTCAGGGTTTAAACAGAGAAACAGAACCAGCAGGAGATATATATTAAGAGATTTATTGCAAAGAAGTGATTTATTCAGTTGTAGGAGCTGGCTAGGCAAGTCTAAAATCTGAGGGGCAGGCAATTAAAAAGGGCAGGCTGCAACTCTGAGCACAAGCAGAAGCTGCTACCCACAGTCATAATGTCTTCTTCATCTCAGGGAGGGCTCAGCTTTGCTTTTAAGCCCTTTCAACTGATTGAATCAGGCCCACCCAGATCATTTAGGATATTCTCCCTATTTTAAGGTTAGCTGGTTAGCAACCTTAATTCCATCTGAACCTTAAGTCTCTTTTGCAATATAACATAACATGTTCACAGGTGCCAGGGAATAGAATGTGGACATCTAAAGGTGGGCATTATTCTACCTACCACACCATCCCATAGCATCTGCCAAGTTAAGAGGCTCCTGGAGATAAAGGAGTCCTGACAGTAGAGCTGATTATTTCTTCAAACCATTCATCGCACTCATTAACATGTCCTTTAATAACTTTTCTTTAACTAATATTAATTCTACAATGTATTTTCTCAGATTCCTTATTAACCAGAACAATGTCATCATCCAAAGGCAAGTAGATAGACATTGGAGTGCTGTGCCATCAAAAGCTCCTCTAGGCCCAGAATTTGGAGCTCCCTTGAGAATTTCTCTGCAATACAATTTCAGGCAATGCATTACTTGGTCCTAGAGTCTATTGACCTTTAGAGTTTATAGGAACAAGTTAAACACAGTCAATCTGAGTATCAGTAAAACTGTCCAGGACTCTTATCAGGATCATAACTTCAGTTAAGTATAAGGAAGATTCCATGAGTTTTTTAAACATTAGAGAAGAAATATTTTCATATATGTTAGTGTGAAAGTCTAGTCATTACAAATGTGATTTTGATATAAACAGCATGAAATTATACATGTTGCCTATTGATTAAACAAACAAAAAATGCAAATAGAGTTTGAAATTAGCTGGACATGGGTGAATACAAATTGATTCTACCCCAAACAAAAAATGGGTTATAAAAAAGTCATAGCTGTGTAAATAATGAAAACTAAAAAAACTCTGCCAATTAAAAATTGAAGTAGATAGAAAGGAATCAGATATTCTTAGGTGGTGTCATATAGTGAGATGAGTACTTTTAATATTAGAATCATGTTTATTTCAGGAGGTTAACTTTCATATTATCTTTTACAAATGAGTACTAAAATTTCAATCAGGAACATGAAAATTTCTGGTACTTTTTTACTAATAATACAATAATTGAAGAAATAATTATAGGACAACAAGGCAGAGAATAACTACTAAGGAAAATAGTAGAGAGAAAGAAAAACAGGTAGAACTACAGGCTACTTACTACTGGTTAAAAAGAGAAAGGAAAAGCAAAGGAGACAATACTAAGGTTGCACGTGGGCAAGTGTCAGAAACCTACAGTGCTATGCAGTGTTGCAGTCCCCTCCGACTTCCTCCCAAAGTCCTGGCCTAGAATATTGGGGATAATCGGCTTCAGGAACTTGAAGTCATTACTCCCGGAGTCTCCCGTCAGACACACCTCGTACTGGTAGCTCTGGGACAGGGTCCCCGCGCCGCTGACATCCACCAGGGGGCCCGGAAAGCGGCCCTCGGGCGCCGCGCAGCCCCCCGCCCAGGCGGCCCCGCTCCGCCGGCACAGCCGCACCGCCACGAGCGCCAGCAGCGAGAACAGGAAGAGCGACGACACCGCCGCCAGCGCGACCACCAGGTAGACGGTGAGCGGGTCGGCCGGGGCCGCGTCGGCCGCCGCGTCGCGCGCGGGCAGGTAGGGCTGCGAGAAGCCGTCCACCAGCAGCACGTGCAGCGTGACGCTGGCCGACAGCGGCGGCTCGCCGTTGTCCTTGACCAGCACCAGCAGCCGGTGGCGGGGCGCGTCGCGCTCGCTCAGCGGCCGCGCCGTGCGCACCTCGCCGTTGTGCGCCCACACGCCGAACAGCCCGGGCTCCGTGGCCCTGAGCAGCTGGTAGGACAGCCAGGCGTTCTGGCCCGAGTCGCCGTCCACCGCCACCACCTTGCCCACCAGGTAGCCGGGCTCGGCCGCCCTGGGCACCAGCTCGGTGCAGGGCGCAGAGCCGTTCTGCGGCGGGTACAGCACGAAGGGCGCGTTGTCGTTGGCGTCCAGCACGCGCACGCGCACCAGCGCCTGGCCGCTCAGCGCCGGCGCCCCGCGGTCGGTGGCGCGCACGCGGAACTCGAAGGCCTGCAGGGCCTCGTAGTCCAGCGCCCGCAGGGCGAACAGGTGGCCGTTGTCGGCGTTGACCGACACCAGCGAGGCCAGCGGCAGGCCGGGGTCCGGGGGCGGCAGCAGCGAGTAGGTGAGCTGGGCGTTGGCGCCCGCGTCGGCGTCGGTGGCGCTGACGCTGCCGATGTGCAGGGCGGGGCTGTTGTTCTCGGGGACGAAGAGGGTGTAGGAGGTTTGGGTGAAGGCGGGGGCGTTGTCGTTGACGTCGGAGACCAGCACGGTTATGTGGTGCTGGGTTGTCAGCCTGGGGGTCCCCATGTCGGTGACGGTGATGGTGACGTTGTACTCGGCCTGGCGCTCTCTGTCCAGGGCCCCGTTTGTTACCAGGGTGTAGAAATTCTCGTCAGTTGGTTGCAGGAGGAAGGGAAGATCATCTTGGATGGAGCAAGTCATCTTTCCGTTGTTCCCTGAGTCTCGGTCTCGAATCTTAAACAGGGCCACTTCTGTTTCGGGGGAATTTTCAGGAATGGGGCTGGTAAGTGATGAAATAGTTAGTTCCGGGGAGTTATCATTAACATCTAGCACCTCAATGGAGACTGAGCACTTTCCAGAAAGTCCCCCGCCATCTGAGGCATCTATATCCAGCTCATAGGAGGATCGTGTCTCAAAATCTAGTTTTTTGATTAGTCGAACTTCTCCTGAAAGGCTGTTTACTTCAAAAGTTGTGCTTATTTCCTGAGAACTATAAGAAAGGGAGTATGAGATCTCTCCGTTTGTCCCAGTGTCTAAATCTCTAGCAGAAACCTTGACAACTAGGGAACCTGCAGGGCTGTTCTCTGGGACCTGCACCTGGTAGAGCCTCTGCGCAAACTCAGGGGCGTTGTCATTGACGTCCAAGACCAAGATGTGGACCTGGGCGGTGCCAGACAGGGGTGGAGAGCCGCCGTCCAGCGCTGTGAGGGTTAGTCTGAGCTGGGCCTGCTCCTCACGGTCCAGTTCTTTGTCCAGCACCAACTCTGGGTATTTCCTGCCGTCCCCCAGGTTGCGGGTGGAAACATGGAAATGAGAGTTGGGACCAATGCTGTAGTTTTGGATGTTGTTGTTGCCCACGTCCAAATCCTGGGCTTTTTGCAGAGGAAACACGGTCCCAGGAGGGCTAGTCTCTGGGATTTTCAGCGTCATTTCTCTTTCAGGGAACTCAGGAGAATGGTCATTTATGTCTCTCACTAGTAGCTCAGCTCGAAATACTCCCAATGGTTTTTTCAGTAACACTTGGAAATGCATTACACATGGATCAGTGGGGCCGCACAGCTCCTCCCGGTCCAGTTTCTCATTTAATATCAAGTCCCCGGTCTGCAGATCAAGCTGCAGCCGGGGTTCGTTATCCTCAGTGACCACCCGGGCTCCCCGCGCAGCCAGCTCTCCCGCTCCCAGCCCCAGGTCCTTGGCTAGGTTGGCCACAAAGGAGCCGCTCTCCGCTTCCTCCAACACCGCGTAGCGGCGGGACTCCCAGCCCGCCAGAGCCCCTCCCACCAAAAGAAAGAGAATCAGGACTTGCCTTTGTTTAGGAAAGCGCTCCCCTCGGACCTCCATCTTTATCCCACAAACACCGGGCCCAGCTCGACCTTAGGGAGCAACGGGACTGAGACAGTGATGGATCTCAGCCGGTAACCTGTCCGGAAATGTGGGCTAGCAGCATTCTCTAGAGACGCGCTAGTCCTCAGCTCGCTTTCAGGCTTTTCTCCTCCGCTAGAGATCCGAGGTTGAGTTAGTTGAATTTGCTGGGCCTTTTTTTTAACGCCTTAGCCTGCAGCGCCACCATGCGTTGTCTTCGAAAAGAATTGCTACAATTGTATTTATTTTTATGTATCTGTAATAATCTAGTAATCCCAATACTCTATCTATCTAGTAATACCAGTAATCTATTAGGAGTTTGGAAATGTTTTCTGAACATGATGTAATCAGAAAACCATGCAATTAAAATTATTTATTCCTTCATTCAAAAATGTAGTATTGAAATCTATGTACTAAGTTCTGAAATACATTAGTAAACAACCCAGACTTGGTTTCTATCTTCTAGAACCTGTAGTCTGGTTGGGTGCTCTGAGAACTGAAAGTGAAAGAACACAATAATAATTGGTCATCTTGTAAAGATAAGATTAAAGCTGTGTGATTTCTTAAAATTCTCTCAGCAAAAAAGGACAAATTCCTCCAGATTTTCTTTCAAATTCTAGGCAGCCTATGTGCCAGAACTGTAATTCTTGCTGGTTGAATCACATCAAGGAAAAAGCTACTAGTACTTAATTGCAGTTTACATATCTTTTCTATCTAAAGTCAGAGAGTTATGATTTTACGAAACTTTTAAACTATGGGAAAATGCACATGAGAGCACTTCTATAGCTCTCAGCCTGCCTCATCTTCTTAGCGTTGACCACCATCTTATCCAGCATACATGTTCATGTTTACTTATTTCTTTTCTGTGTCACACTTGAGTTCAAGAACTTTGTTTTGTGTACTTCGATATCCCTCAACAGCTAGTCCCTGGCACAGGGCAGATGCTCAACAAATATTTGTTGAATAGATCAAGGAATAAATTATAATTAATTTTAAATTTTTGACAGATGGATTCTCTTCCTAACATAAAAGCCCACTTTTTTGCTGGGATCTTAATTCATTATATGAGACACCATGTTCCCAAGAAGCTATGCTCTTTTGAATAGTAATTTAAATAATTCAGAGTGGTCTAAAGTGTTTTTCATTAAATGGCAAAATGCCCTGACTCACCCCTAAACAAAATGATATATTATAAAAAATAAAGAACATAATAACAACCAGGCTATAATGATTCTACAAATAAGGTATACATTTTTAAAAAATGTATTTTACATTGGCAGTGTTATTTCACATTAATGCTATTCATAACACTAATGATATTAAAAACTATTTCTTACATACCACTTTCTAAGAATTTTGACTAAACACTCCATAAACCATACAATTTGGAAATATCCATAAATTCTCAAAATTATGTAGTCTAACAAAAGTTTGTGCTAGTCCCTTAAAGACTACTAATATTCCACCACATTTTGACCAAAATATTGTTACATTGACAATTGTTACATATGACAACCACAAATTTTTAATTAAAAAATTTTTTAATTTATTGATTTGAGAAAGAGAGAAAGGAAATGAGAGAGAAAGAAAAACATCAGTTTGTTGTTCCACTTATTTATGCATTCATTGGTTGATTCTTGTATGTGCCCTGACCAGGGATCAAACCCACAACCTTGGCATATGGGGATGATGCTCTAAAACAACTGAGCAATCCAGCCAAGGCAATGACCACAGTTTTCAAAATGTCAAATTATTTTAAGTTTTAACCCATACAATAATATCTAAATATTCTTTGGACAAGTGGAAAAACCCACCTAGCTGTCTTAATTAGAGGGAAATTTGTTAAAATAGCACTTTTTCCCAAAAACTCAAGCGAGAAAGACTTGGAAAGACTGGAAAGTGTACAATGAGGTTGCTCCTTAGGCATCTCCTTCCTTCTTGTCTCTAAGTGGATTGATTTTCTATGCTTCTTTCCATGTTTTTAGGCAACATGATATCATTTTCTGGTTAAATTCCTAACAAATAGACTATTTTATATCTGCTTTCCAAAGTCATTTTTTAAACAGAGAGAATCAGATTGTCACAGCTTGGAATGTCTACCACCTTGTCAGACTGTCTGAAATTACAAAAAGAGATGGGTCATTAAAATAAACATGGCTGCAACTGTAGACATCTACTGAAGAGAGAAGTTTCCAGAAAGAGATGGGGTGGTATCTATTATTTAAATATTTGGAAATAATCTAATACTCTTTCCATATGGTGACAGAAGATGATTTGAGTTTGGGTGGTGGGCACACAATGCAATATACAGGTCATGCATCATAGAAATGTACACTTGAAATCTATATAATCTTATTAACCAAAGTAACTCTAATATATTTAATTAAAAATTAATAGTCCTATATATCATAGGTTGAAGGTTGATATAAAGAGGTAAAAATCTTTCAAGTATGGGAGAAATTGTAGTTTTTCTATTTAATACCACTGTGAAACAAAAACATGCATTTTTTTGCAGACATAAAATTTTAAGACAGGTAGGCATAATATATTAAACTGAAGATACAGTAATAACTTATTATATTTGTGTCATGCCTGTCTCCTAAGAAATCACAACATCAAAAATTTTAAAAATGTTTCTGGAAAACAAACAGAACGGCACGGAGGTTGTATCTTCAAATCAATAGTGGTTGATTATGAAAGCTGATAAATTGAACAAATATTCATGACATTTTAGGAATGAAGTACAGTTGCATGTTTTGTCTTAAAATAGAAATGATAAAAAGAGAGTAAACATGAGTATATAATTAAGGTTTCTAATCTCCTTGACTAGGAAAAGGAAATCAAAGAAATTCTGTATGGACCAAAAAAGGTAATGGAGACTTAGTATATTTAGATAGAACTAACCTTCATCTTGAATGCTCTGAAAAATTACCAAATTCCTACTTGAATCCAAAACCACTTACATAATTTGAGTTTCCCTCCATAACATTCACAGATCCTGGGTGGTTGGAGGAGACAGACTTCAGGAACTTGAACTCGCTGGTGGTACCTGAGCCTCCGTTCAGACACACCTCGTACTGGTAGCTCTGGGTCAGGGTCCCCGCGCCGCTGACATCCACCAGGGGGCCCGGAAAGCGGCCCCCGGGCGCCGCGCAGCCCCCCGCCCAGGCGGCCCCGCTCCGCCGGCACAGCCGCACCGCCACGAGCGCCAGCAGCGAGAACAGGAAGAGCGACGACACCGCCGCCAGCGCGACCACCAGGTAGACGGTGAGCGGGTCGGCCGGGGCCGCGTCGGCCGCCGCGTCGCGCGCGGGCAGGTAGGGCTGCGAGAAGCCGTCCACCAGCAGCACGTGCAGCGTGACGCTGGCCGACAGCGGCGGCTCGCCGTTGTCCTTGACCAGCACCAGCAGCCGGTGGCGGGGCGCGTCGCGCTCGCTCAGCGGCCGCGCCGTGCGCACCTCGCCGTTGTGCGCCCACACGCCGAACAGCCCGGGCTCCGTGGCCCTGAGCAGCTGGTAGGACAGCCAGGCGTTCTGGCCCGAGTCGCCGTCCACCGCCACCACCTTGCCCACCAGGTAGCCGGGCTCGGCCGCCCTGGGCACCAGCTCGGTGCAGGGCGCAGAGCCGTTCTGCGGCGGGTACAGCACGAAGGGCGCGTTGTCGTTGGCGTCCAGCACGCGCACGCGCACCAGCGCCTGGCCGCTCAGCGCCGGCGCCCCGCGGTCGGTGGCGCGCACGCGGAACTCGAAGGCCTGCAGGGCCTCGTAGTCCAGCGCCCGCAGGGCGAACAGGTGGCCGTTGTCGGCGTTGACCGACACCAGCGAGGCCAGCGGCAGGCCGGGGTCCGGGGGCGGCAGCAGCGAGTAGGTGAGCTGGGCGTTGGCGCCCGCGTCGGCGTCGGTGGCGCTGACGCTGCCGATGTGCAGGGCGGGGCTGTTGTTCTCGGGGACGAAGAGGGTGTAGGAGGTTTGGGTGAAGGCGGGGGCGTTGTCGTTGACGTCGGAGACCAGCACGGTTATGTGGTGCTGGGTTGTCAGCCTGGGGGTCCCCATGTCGGTGACGGTGATGGTGACGTTGTACTCGG